CTCAGACCATGAGAAACAAGATTATCTGGTCTGATGAAACCAAGATTGAACTATTTGGCCTGAATGCGAAGTGTCACGTCTGAATGAAACCTGGCACCATCCCTACGGTGAAGCATGGTTGTGGCAGCATCATGCTGTGGGGATGTTTTTCAGCGGCAGGGCCTGGGAGACTAATCAGGATCGAGGGAAAGATGAAGGGAGCAAAGTACAGAGAGATCCTTGATGAAAAGCTGCTCCAGAGCACTCAGGACCTCAGACTGGGGCGAAGGTTTACCTTCCAACAGGACAACGACCCTAAGCACACAGCCAAGACAACGCAGGAGTGGCTTCGGGCCAGTGCCCAGACTTAAACCTGATCGAACATCTCTGGAGAGACCTGAAAATAGCTGTGCAGCAACGCTCCCCATCCAACCTGACAGAGCTTGAGAGGATCTGCAGAGAAGAATGGGAGAAACTCCCCAAATACAGGTGTGCCAAGCTTGTAGCGTCATACCCAAGAAGACTCAAGGCTGTAATCGCTGCCAAAGGCGCTTCAACAAAGTACTGAGTAAAGGGTCTGAATACTTATGTAAATGTAATATTTCAGTTTTTTAAAACGTTTTTTTGCAATCATTTCTAAAAACCTGTTTTTGCTTTTTCATTATGGGGTATTATGTGTAGATCAATTTTAGAATAAGGCTGTAACCTAACAAAATGTGGAATAAGTAAAGGGGTCTGAATACCTTCCGAAGGCACTCTATTCCTACTCAAATCAACATATCTATTCAATCTATTCAAAATGGAACAATGATATACCAGCAGTAGATATTAACTGGAGTGCTGTCTGGTCCAATATCACATTTTCATGCCCATGAGTTATGTGAAAACTTTCCAGATGAACATATGCTCAACCTCTGTCTGTATACTCTGCCCCCAGGGTAATCCTGGCACATTTATTCATATGGTCTGGAAATGCCCAGAGGTTTTCTATTTTCGGCAATATGTGGCTTCATCATTTTCAGGCATTTTGTCTAAACCCATCCCATGTCTGCCCAATGTGCTACTGCTTAATGATGACTCTTCACTGAACTTAACATACAAGCAGAGAAAGATTTGGCTTGCCGGCCCAACAGCAGCCAAGAGAATGGTTGCCTTACGATGGCAAGCCCCACACACTCTGCCACATCAGACATTTATTTATTTATTCATGGGCATAGCTCAACTTGAACTGTCAATCTCTCGACTGCATGTTGCAAAATCAGAGAATATTAACATATGGACTGCAACACTTGGCAGTATAAAATCATTACTTTAAGATATGTACTTAAGTAAGCAGGTACTGTGGGATAAATGTGTATTTGTGTAATGTCTGTTGGCTTGTGTTTTTTTGTTTTTCTTGCCAACAAAAAGAACAAAAAAAACTTGATCACAAAAAAAAAAGAAACCTAGTGTGGCAGGTTGAGTTTCACCAAGGGTAAGATCATAGTAAATTTGTGCCAGTGAGAGACAAAGTGACTGTCACACCAGCCTTCGCTTTGGCTCCCCCTCCTGTCCAGCTCTTCTAGCTGCTGCCGAACCTACTGCTGGCAAACGCCCTTCACTCATCAACCCCGGACTTGTCTCGTCATCATTACACACACCTGGTTCCAATCCCCACTCTATCACTGTATATTTACTCCCTCTGCCATTTGTCGGTCATTGTAAATGTTACTTGTTTTCCTGAGAGGAATCTCTCCTACTGTTTCCTGAGTACTTTATATTTTGCACTTTGGGTTCGTCCTGTGCCTTTTTGTTTATGAAGATATATTTTGAGCACAACAGCGTTTGAGTTTCGTCTCGCTTTGATATATGGTGCTTAAATAAATTCAGTAGTTCTAAACCTGGCATCCTGCCTACTCCTCTCTACATCAGTGACAGTGACTAAAATGTTGCAGTTTCAAAACCAAGCAGGAGTATGCATGCCTCTGTTGTGGCCTTGCAAAACACATCTAACCCTTGTGGGAGTATAAATGTTGTATGAAGACAAAGATAAGATTGTCAGCAACTTTGGTGTTACTTAATATACCAAGAGTTTAATACAGTTTTAAAAAAATACCAAAATAGGGCGACTGACAGTGACAGGAATGAAAAGAGGAAGCGCTGAGCTGAAAGTGTTTGTGTGGTGTGTGTGTGTCTCTCTCTTTTTGTGTGTGTCAAAACAACTTAACCAGCCTGTTTCTTGACCTTCTCAATGTTTCATCTGACAGTCATGGGGCAGATAGGTAGCTTTAACACTAGATGTCAAATGTAACACGTCATGTAGGTTAACTTATCATGCAATACATAACCTTGTGTTCTGCAACACAACATTGTTGAAATGTTAAGTAGGATTGAAAGGCTGGTAAATCTGGTTGGGTCACCACCATGATGTGTTTATTGATTATTAGTGCTGGTCTGGTAACCAGCAAACTGTGTTACAGTTCATTAATCAAGGAATTGGCTACAGCATTCTACAGTTGTTTGTTGTTGTTTTTATAGCTGTCTTTACCCAAATAACACCCTATTCACTTTATAGTGCACTACTTTTGACCAGAGCCCATAGGGCCTTGGTCAAAAGTAGTACACTACATAAGGAATAGGGTGCCATTTGGGACACAAGCTGTGTCATAGTCCATTGATCAAGGGTTAGGCTACAACATTCTCCTACAGTAGTTTGTTGTTGTCCTTATGTGATTTTTCCTCTTGCATTGCCTTGGTGGTATTCAGTGTTATAAATCGTTAACAGTAAGTGCTGTTGGGAACCTATATTGATCAAGGATTAGGCTACAGCATTCTGAAGTAGTTTATGTTTTTTTTTATCTTTCCTTGTATGTTTCAGAAATTATATAAATCAATGGTTTAAGCCTTTTTATCTCACATGGCTTTGATATTCAGTCAGTAAATAAATGGCTAACACTATGACTTCAGAAGTGTGAATTATTCAATTTTCTCGTAATGATTAACTTCTCACATACTTAATATTCACAAGGTTTTGCCAAGATGGTTCACTTAAACTCTGTGAGGAACATGATACTGTAGTTTAGTGAAAGCTATATGAACAGGAGACTGCAAAACTGGCAACAAGCTGGCAACTACAAAAACCCTAGCCCCAATGGTTGGTTCTAGTCAGATGTGGTGTAGATTCTAGTCCCTACCAGAGCCCAACAGCCTGGTATGTAAACATGTTTCACCTTTATTTAACCAGGTAAGCCAGTTGAGAACAAGTTCTCATTTACAACTGCGACCTGGCCAAGATAAAGCAAAGCAGTGCGATAAAAACAACAACACAGAGTTACAAATGGGGTAAACAAAACAAAGTCAAAAATACAACAGAAAATCTATATACAGTGTGTGCGAATGTAGTAAGTTATGGAGGTAAGGCAACAAATAGGCCATAGTGCAAAATAGTTACAATTTCGTATTAACACTGGAATGATAGATGTGCAAATAGAGATACTGTGGTGCAAATGAGCAAAATAAATAACAATATGGGGATGAGGTAGTTGGGTGGGCTAATTTCAGAAGGGCTGTGTACAGGTGCAGTGATCGGTAAGCTGCTCTGACAACTGACGCTTAAAGTTAGTGAGGGAGATAAGAGTCTCCAGCTTCAGAGATTTTTGCAGTTCGTTCCAGTCATTGGCAGCAGATAACTGGAAGGAATGGCGGCCAAAGGAGGTGTTGGCTTTGGGGATGACCAGTGAGATATACCTGCTGGAGCGCAGACTACGGGTGGGTGTTGCTATGGTGACCAGTGAGCTAAGATAAGACGGGGATTTACCTAGCAGTGATTTATAGATGACCTGGAGCCAGTGGGTTTGGCGACGAATATATATAATATCTGATTAGTACCACCATTTTACTTATCTAAAAACACTATTACTACTCTAACAGGATCAGCATGATAACAATGTGCTGATTCCATAGGAAAATAATAACACTGTGTCAATGCCGTAGGAAAATGGTGCATTACAGTAAAACCAGAAAGCCACTTACTAGTACTGTGAGGGAAATGCCATTGTGTTGACGCCATTGGAATATGAAAGGGATGTTTTGACTTGATGCCATATAGACAAATAATATAACAATGAGTTGCTGTCATAGAAAAATTGTGCATTACAGTAAAACCAATGACTAGCTACTTTCTATTACTGATTTTCGGGGTGTGCGGTGCAGCCATGAGAAATGTGTTGATGCCATAGGAAAGTGGTGCATCATTGCAGTAAAACCCACGGCGACTGTCTAGTACAGTAAGTGTGTCGCTGGGTCATTATCCTGTGTGTGTGTGTGTGTGTGTGTGTGTGTGTGTGTGTGTGTGTGTGTGTGTGTGGTGGGGGGGGGGGGGGGGGGGGGGGGTGTTGGTTCTTCCATCCTTGTGGGGACCTAAAATCCCCAAAATGTTTGGTCCCCATGAGGATAGAACAAAGTGAGTGTGTGTGTGTGTGTAAAGCCCTTATTTGACACCTGTTATATTTTGGGACCCAAATTCTAATTTGTTTATGCTGTAGCGTCCAACAATTTATGTGCCATATTATGTGTTATGAATATGAGAAATAGAGCGTGTACATCTAGGTCAAAATAATGACAGAGCAACACACACACACACACATACACACACATACACACAATACAGCACCAGAAAAATAGGTAGTTGGAACACATATTTGAAAAAGCCTTTGTGTCAATAATGATAAGGTTGAGCTTTCCGGTGGCATTTGGAATATGTCTCATGTCAGTTAGGGGATTGAATGTTACATTGTAATATTGTCTGAGATTGCTGCCAGCCCTCCTCTGCAGCTCTCTGTGGATTAGTTTATTAACCCTTATGTAAAGTGTACTTATGTACCTTATCTAAAGTGTTACCAAACACTTCCATTGTGTGGTGGGGCTGGGTACTGTGACAGTAAAAATAACTACTTCCATTGTCTCTGTATAATGGATAAATAAAGATGAATTGTATAGCATTGTGTCTGTCTGACTGAAGGTTCTGTGGTTGTCTCTGGCAGGCGGAACGGAGCAGTGGCGAAGGGAACTCCCAGAACATTCCGGAGTCGATGCATCGCGGCAGCTCGGAAAACAACCTGGATCTGGACCTGAGCGACATCCCAGACTCCCAACGCTACCTCGACTCCTCCCACCGCAGCCTAGACTCCTCCTACCGCTCCCTTCCCCCCGGACTCAACAGCCTGCAGCAGAAGATCCTCAGGGTTTGTTGTTTAATGGTTATAAAGATCTCCTAGAGTTTAGAATGGTGGGCTAGCAACAGGAGGGATCCAAAGGCCGATTGGAAAATCTTGTGGGGAGTGGCCCGCAAGAAGGTTCCTGGCATAAGTATCCTAGATGCAATCTCTTGCCATTATACCCTGCCATTATACAATGTGTTTGTGTGCCTAGCAGGTTTGGGTTAAAATAAAAACAAATTCTGTGGACTATAAGGATCATGGTAAAGAACAAGAAGGCCCGTTTATGCTCCCAATTCACCACTTTATTGACAACGTACCGATCCAAAACAGATTTTCGTCAGGTCAAACGGACTGAGTGCTCACATTGCAAAATATACACATTTCACCTCGCATGACCATTAAGGCATCCACATGCCTCCCAGCCTGAAGAGTTCGGAAGAGTTAGTGTATATATTATGATGACATTTTGTGAAGTTTTTCTTCGTTTTGGACACAACATTTTTTCTCACGGCAAGCCTAAGTCGGTAGCCAAAGTCTTACGCCCCTTCATCTGTGATTGGTCAACGGTAGGGATTCTTCAATAATGTCTTTATTGTCATTCAACGAGAGATGACTAGTTTTCATGCACATTTTTTCATTGAGAAATACTGCACCAAACATCTTAGTTAGATGTCAAATTGAGCAACTAAGATCTCCTCGGCAAAAATGTCTAAATTAAATTAATTTCTTGAGTTATCTTAGATTAATTCTGACTATTTTGAGGAAGTGTATACTGGCTACGGCGTCTCAAAATGGACAAACAGTATTATCAAAGATTTGTATCACTAACCCAAGATAGACCACAGCCTGTCGTTTCCAATGGGAGCAGAGTATGTGAGTGGAGTTGCGCACTGCTCTGGCGCTCCATGTCCTTTCCTACCACTCTGCTCCACTCTCACAGGAAAAAAAACTCCCGCTCCAAATTCACTCCATTCATTAAAATCACAATTTAACCAACACCCATCTATTTTTGTGACTACCTGGACCTACTAATTGGTTTTTAAGTATCGAAACCAAACCATATGGATTTCAATGAAAAGTATTTGAATAAACATGAAAAGTTGAATGTAAGAAGCGAACATCATTTCAAATAGGCTACGTCGTATTAAACAGCATATAAACACTCTAAATAGGAGCCAGACAGGAAGCCTAAGAAGGAACAAAAATCAATTATTTAAGCTATATTATTTCAATTATTTCAAGGCTATAGCCTACAAAGTACATTGTGAAAGATTTGCGAGTGCGACACAATAAAGCGCGCAGCATTTAAACAACATTTTGTTGTAAATCATTATAGTCTATAAATTGCGCATATAGGCTGTGGCTTACTTACAATTAAATAGAAATAAAATGAAAAATGACTTATTAGGCTCAGTGCCTTTGAATTCATTTTTAGAAACAAGAGTTTGGCCAGTCTGTGGCTTCAGGCTCATGCGATGGTGCCTGGAGAACAGGCCAGCAGTGGAAAATATCCTCTCCACGCTTGCAGAGCCACTGGGGATGCTAAACACCCTTTTGACCACTCTTGCCAGGCTGGGCAGAGATGCAGAGTTGTTAAAAAAAAAATCGAAAGGTTTTTAGGCAAAATAACCCAATCAAAACAGAATGCTCCTTGAACGTGGGAATATGCCAGGCCTATTGGGTCAAACTCAATTATGGCCTTTTGTATAGATAATAGAACAAAAATGAAGGAAACATTTTAGAGATCTGATATTTGGCTTATAAATACTTTGCTACAATGACACAGTTAGCTACCCACCTCGTTCCTTTATTTTAGCACGTAGTAAGTACACATCATACTTTTGGGTAAATGTATTTTCAGATTCCACAATGATTCTTTAGTTGTGGACACTACATCACTGCACTCCCTCTCTTGCTCTTGGTCCTCATCTACTGGAGCGAAATTGGAGCAGGCGAGAAGGCCGACGCGCCAACCTTTGGGAATGTGTCTCCACGCTCCAGTCAAATTGGGCACGTTCCGCTCCTCGCTCCGCTCACATACTCTGAATGGGAGTACATTTGTCATAGTGGACAGAACAAGCAAGATGTGGGCAGAGCCAAGGACGAGCTAGCGAGACCCTATTGGCTCGTTCTAGCATGTATTTGCATATTTCCATTAGGGAACGCCTACTCTGTGAAGTGCGTGTGTGCAATAACTCAATTCGCCCTTGCACTCCTTCTAAACAACACACTTTTTTGAAACTTTGGCAAAGGGTAAAGTCTACAAACCTTAGCCCACTCTATTCGTAGCAGATTCTAGTTTTGGAAACAGAGAACTGTATTGAGATCAAATGTTTCAGGACTTTTGATCAGAGAAAGCCTGTGGTCCCGCATTTAATGGAGGCTCGTCACATCAGCTCTCTGAGATACAGTACATTGGTATCGAACATGTTAAGGCTCCTAGGAGGGGGGAGATACTGATAATATATTACTGAGAAAATAATTGTATTGGATTCACAATTGATCCAACCATGTCTCCTAAAGGTCTGAACCAAGAGTTTGATATCAGACCATTTCTTCTTCTTTCTGAATATGTTACGTTGATTTATTAAAAATATCACATTTACATAAGTATTCAGACCCTTTACTCAGTACTTTGTTGAAGCACCTTTGGCAGCGATTACAGCCTTGAGTCTAATTGAGTATGACGCTACAAGCTTGGCACACCTGTATTTGGAGAGTTTCTCCCATTCTTCACTGCAGATCCTCTCAAGCTCTGTCAGGTTGGATGGGGAGTGTTGCTGCACAGCTATTTTCAGGTCTCTCCAGAGATGTTCTATCGGGTTCAAGTCCGGGCTTTGGCTGGGTCACTCAAAGACATTCAGAGACTTGTCCCGAAGCCACTCCTGCGTTGTCTTGGCTGTGTGCTTAGAGTCGTTGTCCTGTTGGAAGGTGAACCTTCACCTTCACCCCATATCTCCGAATGCACTGTATGTACCTCTGTGATTAATTATGATTGACTATGCGCAAAAGTGAATTGAATTGTGTGAAATGTGAAATGTGTATATTTTGGGATATGAGCACTCAGTCTGTTTGACCTGATGAAGATCCGTTTCGGATGGAAACGTTATCAATAAAGCGGTGAATTGGGAGCATAAACAGTGTGCGGGCCTTCCTGTTCTTTACAAGTATTCTTTATTAGTCCAGCACCTACGTTTTTAAGGATGTGCGTATGACCACATACTTTTCTGTAAGGAACATGGACCATAAAGTATCCTTCTTCTCCTTCCCAAGGTGACAGAGCAGCTGAAGATTGAGCAGGAGTTGCGAGACGACAATGTGGCAGAGTACCTGAAACTGGTGAACAGTGCTGACAAGCAGCAGGTGATTACCTTTTAACTTTTTAACGGTTGTACTTTTCTTTCTTGCACACACACTTGTATTTTCTTACTAGCATTGATTTTGCTGCAGATAGGGTTTCATTGATCGTGACATCTTTGATGAATGCACTGATTGCAAGTCACTCTGGTTAATAGCATCTGATTGCTAAATATGCCCCGTATGTAAATGTTGAAAATGCAGGTGGGGCGCATCAAGCATGTGTTTGAGAAGAAGAACCAGAAGTCAGCCCACAGCATTGCCCACATGCAGAAAAAGCTGGAACAGTATCATAAAAAGATGAAGGACAGCAGTGAAAAGGACACCAGCTCCAAACACCACAGCATCTCTAAAGAGAGCTCCAGGGACATGCTGAGCCACACCGTGAGCAATGTGAGCAGTTGTAGTGGACGACACCCCCTGGACAAGATCAAGACAGTAGGGCCTGGCGTCTCGCTCTCGCCACCCTTCTTTTTCAGCAAGCCCCGGGACTTTGCCAACCTCATCAGGTACTGATGCAGTGCTCCATGCTGACCATGTGGGTGTGTCAGTGGGTGGGTGTAGCTGTGGTGTGTGTGTGTGTGTGTGTGTGTGTGTGTGTGTGTGTGTGTGTGTGTGTGTGTACACAGTGGAGGGATTTTGGTTCTTGGACAGAAGAGACAGCTTGTCTTATCACACACCCTGGCTGCAGTGGATACGGATTGATCAGGCCACCATATATTAACAAATCTGTGTCCTATGACGATAGATAATAATAATATTTTTTCTATTTTTCTTCAGGAACAAGTTTGGCAGTGCCGACAACATCGCTCACCTGAAGACCTCCCTCGACACGCCCTCTCCCTTCCACTCTGAAGGAACTGGGCGGGCCTTGAGTGGGAGCGCCACCATAGTGGGCGGGAAGACCCCCACCCCCGCCGCCACACCCACGCCCAAGTACACCAGCGATGACGAGTGTTCCTCGGGCACGTCCCTGTCGGCGGACAGCAACGGGAACGCAATGGCTCTGGGCGTTGGGCTGGGTCTAGAAGTGGGTGTCGGGGCTGTGGTGACCCCAGGGCAGATCCTGGAGGCTGGGGACAGCCAGGGGAGGCTGGGCCTGACCACGGAGGAGGTGAGGGAGATCAGGGAGGCCCAGGGGCAACTGGAGGAGGACATGGAGGGATTCAGGACCCAGTTCAAGAAAGACTATGGCTTCATCACCCAGACGCTACAGGAGGAGAGATACAGGTCAGGTCACAGTCATATACACTATACAGTTGAAGTCGGAAGTTTACACACACCTTAGCCAAATACATTTAAACTCAGTTTTTCACAATTCCTGACATTTAATCCTAGTAAAAATTCCCTGTTTTAGGTCAGTTAGGATCACCACTTTATTTTAATAATGTGAAATGTCAGAATAATAGTAGAGAGTGATTTATTTCAGCTTTTATTTCTTTCATCACATTCCCAGTGGGTCAGAAGTTTACATACACTCAATTAGTATTTGGTAGCATTGCCTTTAAATTGTTTAACTTGGGTCAAATGTTTCGGGTAGCCTTCCACAAGCTTCCCACAATAAGTTGGGTGAATTTTGGCCCATTCCTCCTGACAGAGCTAGTGTAACTGAGTCAGGTTTGTAGGCCTCCTATAGGATTGAGGTCAGGGCTTTGTGATGGCCACTCCAATACCTTGACTTTGTTGCCCTTAAGCCATTTTGCTACAACTTTGGAAGTATGCTTGGGGTCATTGTCCATTTGGAAGACCCATTTGCGACCAAGCTTTAACTTCCTGACTGATGTCTTGAGATGTTGCTTCAATATATCTACATAATTTTCCTTCCTCATGATGCTATCTATTTTGTGAAGTGCACCAGTCCCTCCTGCAGCAAAGCACCCCCACAGCATGATGCTGTCACCCCTATTCTTCACGGTTGGGATGGTGTTCTTTGGCTTGCAAGCCACCCCCTTTTTCCTCCAAACATAATAATGGTCATTATGGCCAAACAGTTCTATTTTTGTTTCATCAGACTAGAGGACATTTCTCCAAAAAGTACGATCTTTGTCCCCATGTGCAGTTGCAAACCGTAGTCTGGGTTTTTTATGGCGGTTTTGGAGCAGTGGCTTCTTCCTTGCTGAGCGGCCTTTCAGGTTATGTTGATATAGGACTCATTTTACTGTGGATATAGATACTTTTATACCTGTTTCTTCCAGCATCTTCACAAGGTCCTTTGCTGTTGTTCTGGGATTGATTTGCACTTTTCGCACCAAAGTACATTCATCTCTAGGAGACAGAACGCGTCTCCTTCCTGAGCGGTATGACGGCTGCGTGGTCCCATGGTGTTTATACTTGCGTACTATTGTTTGTACAGATGAACGTGGTACCTTCAGGCGTTTGGAAATTGCTCCCAAGGATGAACCAGACTTGTGGAGGTCTACAATTTATTTTCTGAGGTCTTGGCTGATTTCTTTTGATTTTCCAATGATGTCAAGCAAAGAGGCACTGAGTTTGAAGGTAGGCCTTGAAATACATTCACAGTTACACCTCCAATTGACTCAAATGATGTCAATTAGCCTATCAGAAGCTTCTAAAGCCATGACATCGTTTTCTGGAATTTTCCAAGCTATTTAAAGGCACAGTCAACTTAGTGTATGTAAACTTCTGACCCACTGGAATTGTGATACAGTGAATTATAAGTGAAATAATCTGTCTGTAAACAATTGTTGTAAAAATGACTTGTGTCATGCACAAAGTAGATGTCCTAACCAACTTGCCAAAACTATAGTTTGTTAACAAGAAATGTGTGGAGTGGTTGAAAAACGAGTTTTAATGACTCCAACCTAAGTGTATGTAAACTTCCGACTTCATTTGTGTGTGGACACCCCTTCAAATTAGTGGATTCGGCTATTTCAGCCACACCCGTTGAAAAAAAATCGAGCGCACAGCCATGCAATCTCCATAGACAAACATTGGCAGTAGAATGGCCTTACTGAAGAGCTCAGTGACTTTCAACGTGGCACCGTCATAGAATGCCACCTTTCCAACAAATCAGTTTGTCAAATTTCTGCCCTGCTAGAGCTGCCCCGGTCAACTGTAAGAGCTGTTATTGTGAAATGGAAACGTCTAGGAGCAACAACGGCTCAGCCGCAAAGTGGTAGGCCACACAAGCTCACAGAACAGGACTGCCGAGTTCTGAACGTAAAAATCGTCTATCCTCGTTTGCAACACTCACTACCGTGTTCCAAACTGCCTCTGGAAGCAACGTCAGCACAATAACTGTTCGTCGGGAGCATCATGAAATGGGTTTCCATGGCCGAGCAGCCGCACACAAGCCTAAGATCACCTTGCTCAATGTCAAGTGTCGGCTAGAGTGGAGTAAATCTCGCCGCCCATTGGACTCTGGAGCAGTGGAAAACGTGTTTCTTTGGAGTGATGAATCATGCTTCACCATCTGGCAATCCGACGGACGAATCTGGGTTTGGTGGATGCCAGAAGAACGCTACCTGCCAATTGTAAAGTTTGGTGGAGGAGGAATGATGGTCTGGGGCTGTTTTTCATGGTTCGGGCTAGGTCCCTTAGTTCCAGTGAAGGGAAATCTTAACGCTACAGCATAGAATGACATTCTAGACAATCCGGTGCATTCCAACTTTGTAGCAACAGTTTGGGGAAGGCCCTTTCCTCTTTCAGCATGACAATGCCCCCGTGCACAAAGCGAGGTCCATACAGAAATGGTTTGTCGAGATCGGTGTGGAAGAACTTGACTGGTCTGCACAGAGCCCTGACCTCAACCCCATCGAACACCTTTGGGATGAATTGGAATGCCGACTGCGAGCCAGCCTAATCGCCCAACATCAGTGCCCAACCTCACTAATGCTCTTGTGGCTTAATGGAAGCAAGTCCCCGCAGCAATGTTCCGACATCTAGTGGAAAGCCTTCCCAGAAGAGTGGAGGCTGTTATAGCAGCATAAGGGGGACCAACTCCATATTAATGCCCAGGATTTTTGAATGAGATGTACGACGAGCAGGTGTCCACATACGTTGATCATGTAGTGTACAAGCTCCATTTCAATAAGTTACTATTACAACTATGACAAGCTCCATTTCAGTAGGAACTACAGTAGGAACTGTTGTTGTAAAAGAGAATGTTCTTCATGAGGAGAGATACAGGTCAGATTACTTGATCAGCATTATTAAACCTCCATTACAATACAGAAGTAACTACAACAGCAGGAACATAACTAAAATGTTAGGTAATCCCTCTCACTGCACTTGCCAGTATCACTTTTTTATTAAGCTTATGCGTCGACATCATATTACACAGGTGGTGTTAGTCCCATCATCTATCGGCAATCTTCTTTTTTTGCCTGTTATTTTTTGCTTGTCTCCAGCTGGTCTTGTTGCTATGTATGCTGCCAGCGAATGACCAATCCACAGAATGAAATATAACACTAGTATACTACACAATAGTATTGTATTTTATCTCTATGGATCAATCATTGTCTATAATTCAAATTCATGGTAGAATGACCAATTTGAGTGTTTTTGTCATTCTATTTCCTGGTAGGTATGACCAATCACAGTGTAAATATAATTGTATTTCCTGGTAGGTGTGAGCGGTTGGAGGACCAGCTGAATGATCTGACTGAGCTCCACCAGGCCGAGACAGCCGACCTGAAACAGGAGCTGGCCAGCATTGAGGAGAGAGTGGCCTACCAAGCCTACGAGAGGGCTAGAGACATACAGGTACTGTACTGGTGCATTGCTACTGGCGTCAGCGCAATGACAGTAGCTAGCTGTTTTCTAGACAGGGTTTATTGACCACGTTCTCCCTCCCCTCCACAGGAGGCGCTAGAGTCATGCCAGACGCGCGTCTCTAAACTAGAGCTCCAGCAGCAGCAGCAACAAACCGTCCAGCTCGAGTCCCGTGATGCCAGGGTGCTTCTGGGTAAAAGCATCAACATCATGCTCGCCATTGTCACCGTGATCCTTGTATGCGTCTCCACGGCCGCCAAGTTCGCCGCTCCCCTCCTGCGGAGCAGACGCCACGTTATGGGAACCTTCCTGGGCATGTGTCTGCTGGCGCTGTTCTGGAGGAACTGGGAGAGTCTACAGTGTGCTGTGGAGAGGGTCCTGGTGCCAGCCTGAGGGGGACAATAGTCTAATGCTGTCCATGCCATTCACTGCAACAAATGATCTACGGACTGATCTCAGAACTCCAACAAAACAGCCTATTTATAAGTGGTAAAATACAGAAGGTGCATAGTGCAAATGAAGTCCGATGGGGGAAAATGGAGCTAGCAAAGCATGGTCACTGACTGGTTAATCTCATCACCCAGAATAACACTGAATATCAAGACAATGTGGGGTGAATGAACACACAACGACAGACATTATAACAACAGCAACTACAACCACACTGCTAGAGAATGTTGCAGTCCTTGATCAGTGCTGTTTCTTGCAATGTTAAGGTTGAATCGCTGCACCCAGAAACAAGTCTCGCAGTGTTAAGTCCGTCCTGAGAGACTATTGACTGTTCAAGATATAGGTTCTCCATTGGTCAGAAGAGGGGATGCTGTCCACAACACACTACAACAAATAATTTCCAGACACAGTCAGATCACATGCATAGTGCAGAAGAATTGCACTAGAGCAAGCATGATGGGGGAAAGATGGGAGCTGGGTAAAGCATGGTTACTAACTGACTGACTTCATTATATAGGATCTCAATCTCCATTGTCTCTGACAGGGTTGGTGGGTTGGTCACGGCACACAATCATCAGAGGGCACGGTTGCATCACGGTTGTCTTACGGTCACAGAGGTTCATGGTTCGTGGTTCTTCACCCTATCCACGCCATCAATACACACACACAAACACACACACACACACACAACTCAGCCTTGATGCTCTGCTCTCCCAACATTCTACTACAGAGACTATAGTTCACAAGACAGGAGTGAGGGAGGCGGACATCTTTTTTAAAATATTTTATGTCTTAAGGTTTGTGTCTTACAGCCAATCCGCATTCCTTCTTTATTACCTTGCCTGCAGTCAGAAGTTTGTCAGCCATTTTTTAAAACTGTTGTTGACTTGGTTTGTTTACTTCTTTTATTGGATACATTTTAAAAGTGAAATATGTTCGATAGATTTTTTTAACGACCACTTGTTTGTTTGTTTTTAGGAAAGAATGTTCTCTGTTTCCCTCTAGAGGGATAAGTGACGGGATGCTGTCTGAAGGTTGGGGGTTTGGGGGGTAAAAAAATTATAATCTATATACAAACTTATACGAACAACAACTTACAGACACACACAAACCATGACTACATCTCCTCTGCCCAGACCAGCATGTTCACACCTCCATCCCTACTGCCTGCATTATTGTTTGCCACTTGGCCGTAAATTGTACCCATTTGTTTTTCTCAGTCGCCCATGCTATTTCAATATTTAAATAAACGGAATTCCAATAGTAATAATTAATGTGATAGAGAAAGTAGGAGGGACTGATTGGGTAATTTGCCAATTGATTGATGTGTGTTGACCTTCAAGAGGAAATTGTGGACTATCTATAACACTGTGATATGAGGCATTGGGTTCTTTTACTGTTCCTCTGAAACTCTTTTTCTGTTCCAATGGGTGATAGGCTAGCTACTCTATTACAATGAGAAGCAACTGAGCATTGAGCAGCCTTGCATACTCCACAGTGGACAGAGGACACTACAGGTTTGCAAAAGGAGTCTATTTTATGGACATGTGTGGGTGTGGATGTGTGTGTGTGGGGGGGGGGGGGGGGGGGGGCATGCATGAGGACTAGTATCTGTATGAAGACTTAACATGACAAATATGGACAATATCTAATGTTTGTTTGTTGTAATAACATTTCCTCTATTTTGTTTGTTTGTGTTGACCTAGTCAGTCACAGACAGGGTTGTTGATATTTACCTGCTGCTGACTGTATGTATACAGTATGAGATTACAGCCCAGTTTAAGATGGTGCTAGTGTTGCAATACTCAGGTAACTTTCCCAAAATGTCCATGTTTTCCAGAAATCCTGGTGGGAGGATTCCTAATTCCCTGCTTATTCACATTTTGATTCCAGGAATCTTCCAACTGGGAATTTGGGGAAAATTACCGGAATTTTGCAACCCTAGAAGGTACTTGCTTGGTTCAATGAATCGCAAACAAACCGCAACGTAATTACGACGCAATTATTACGTAATTACCGTTTTACCGTTTTAATTTCTAACTACAGTACCTGCTTAACGGGGCTACAGAAATTCTTTGTGTTCCTCTGTTTTGATACACCTGAAGAATTTACCTGAACATGGATTAGATTAATTACAGAGTCTTATTCATCTTCAGTGCATAATAATATGATTTACCTGTTCTCATGTATTATGTGCCTTCCTGTATGTGACAATTCTGTTTAAATTAAACCAAAATAAAATGTTATCAACAAACCACTCCATGATATTTGAGTGAGTTTGGATATTTTGTCCTTGCCTGTCAGATATTTGCGTTTGAAAAAAAGTCAGGAATACCACCTTAGTGGTGTGGATGACAGTAATGGTCAAAATAATGAATGAACTAATGAAATAAAGTAATTAGTAGTTCATTCATGTCTGAGGTTTTTCCGTTAATAAAGTTGACCTGTCAACTGGCCAGGTCTGTACTATCACCACAAGGGGGCGTAAGTGCTTCATCATAGATCCTGACGAATGGTTACCTAAACAATTCAACAGCGGACTCGACTGGCCATGATATTTCATGACATGACTCCTCCACTAAGCTCTCTCCTGTCTAGTTTCCATCCCACACTGCAGTGAATCGAGGTCTGTCTGTCTGTCCATCCATGGATCGATTCCAGTGTAACTATGGCTAGAATTACCCCTCTTTCTCTCTCTGTATGTGTTGTCTCCAACAGGGCTGCCATCCATGGGTTTATAGGGTAGTGTTGATGTTCATAGAAAGAGATGCTGCTTAGCCTGGCTGGGGGGAAAATAATTTCCTCTGCCTCTGCAATGTGGGTCACCTATCTGGCAGTGCCGTGTGTGTTTGTATGGTTGAGCCTGCGTGACTGACTTTGTGACTGCCTGCATGCCAGGAATAAGTGCAGAGAGAGAGAGAAGGAATGAGGAAGTTTACATACACTTAGGTTGGAGTCATTAAAACTTGTATTTCAACCACTCCACAAATTTCTTGTCAACAAACAATAGTTTTGGCAAGTCGGTTAGGACATTTACTTTGTGCATGACACAAGTAATTTTTCCAACAATTGTTTACAGACAGATTATTTCACTTATAATTCACTGTATCAATTCCAGTGGGTCAGAAGTTTACATACACTAAGTTGACTGTGCCTTTAAACAGCTTGGAAAATTCCAGAAAATGATGTCATGGCTTTAGAAGCTTCTGATAGGCTAATTGACATCATTTGAGTCAATTGGAGATGTACCTGTGGATGTATGTCAAGGCCTACCTTCAAACTCAGTGCCTCTTTGCTTGACATCATGGGAAAATCAAAAGAAATCAGCCAAGACCTCAGAAAAAAAACCTGTAGACCTCCACAAGTCTGGTTCATCCTTGGGAGTAATTTCCAAACGCCTGAAGGTACCACGTTCATCTATACAAACAATAGTACACAAGTATAAACACCATGGGAACACGCAGCCGTCATACCGCTCAGGAAGGAGACGCGTTCTGTCTCCTAGAGATGAACGTACTTTGGTGCGAAAAGATTTCCACAGTAAAACAAGTCCTATATCGACATAACCTGAAAGGCCGCTCAGCAAGGAAGAAGCCACTGCTCCAAAACCGCCATAAAAAAGGCAGACTACCGTTTGCAACTGCACATCAGGACAAAGATCGTACTTTTTGGAGAAATGTCCTCTGGTCTGATGAAACAAAAATAGAACTGTTTGGCCATAATGACCATCGTTATGTTTGGAGGAAAAAGGGGGTGGCTTGCAAGCCGAAGAACACCATCCCAACCATGAAGCACGGGGGTGGCAGTATCATGCTGTGGGGGTGCTTTGCTGCAGGAGGGACTGGTGCGCTTCACAAAATAGATGGCATCATTAGGAAGGAAAATTATGTGGATATATTGAAGCAACATCTCAAGACATCAGTCAGGAAGTTAAAGCTTGTCGCAAATGGGTCTTCCAAATGGACAATGACCCCAAGCATACTTCCAAAGTTGTCGCAAAATGGCTTAAGGACAACAAAGTCAAGGTATTGGAGTGGCCATCACAAAGCCCTGACCTCAATCCAATAGAACATTTGTGGGCAGAACTGAAAAAGCGTGTGGAAGGCTACCCGAAACATTTGACCCAAATTAAACAATTTAAAGGCAATGCTACCAAATACTAATTGAGTGTATGTAAACTTCTGACCCACTGGGAATGTGATGAAAGAAATAAAAGCTGAAATAAATCATTCTGTCTACTATTATTCTGACATTTCACATTCTTAAAATAAAGTGGTGATCCTAACTGACCTAAGACAGGGAATTTTTACTAGGATTAAATGTCAGGAATTGTGAAAAACTGAGTTTAAATGTACAGTGGGGAAAAAAAGTATTTAGTCAGCCACCAATTGTGCAAGTTCTCCCACTTAAAAAGATGAGAGAGGCCTGTCATTTTCATCATAGGTACACGTCAACTATGACAGACAAATTGAGGAAAAAAAATCCAGAAAATCACATTGTAGGATTTTTAATGATTTTATTTGCAAATGATGGTGGAAAATAAGTATTTGGTCACCTACAAACAAGCAAGATTTCTGGCTCTCACAGACCTGTAACTTCTTCTTTAAGAGGCTCCTCTGTCCTCCACTCGTTACCTGTATTAATGGCACCTGTTTGAACTTGTTATCAGTATAAAAGACACCTGTCCACAACCTCAAACAGTCACACTCCAAACTCCACTATGGCCAAGACCAAAGAGCTGTCAAAGGACACCAGAAACAAAATTGTAGACCTGCACCAGGCTGGGAAGACTGAATCTGCAATAGGTAAGCAGCTTGGTTTGAAGAAATCAACTGTGGGAGCAATTATTAGGAAATGGAAGACATACAAGACCACTGATAATCTCCCTCGATCTGGGGCTCCACGCAAGACCTCACCCCATGGGGTCAAAATGATCACAAGAACAGTGAGCAAAAATCCCAGATCCACACGGGGGGACCTAGTGAATGACCTGCAGAGACAGGTGAATGACCTGCAGTCCACAGCTGGGACCAAAGTAACAAAGCCTACCATCAGTAACACACTACGCCGCCAGGGACTCAAATCATGCAGTGCAAGATGTGTCCCCCTGCTTAAGCCAGTACATGTCCAGGCCCGTCTGAAGTTTGCTAGAGTGCATTTGGATGATCCAGAAGAGGATTGGGAGAATGTCATATGGTCAGATGAAACCAAAATATAACTTTTTGGTAAAAACTCAACTCGTCATGTTTGGAGGACAAAGAATGCTGAGTTGCATCCAAAGAACACCATACCTACTGTGAAGCATGGGGGTGGAAACATCATGCTTTGGGGCTGTTTTTCTGCAAAGGGACCAGGACGACTGATCCGTTTAAAGGAAAGAATGAATGGGGCCATGTTTCATGAGATTTTGAGTGAAAACCTCCTTCCATCAGCAAGGGCATTGAAGATGAAACGTGGCTGGGTCTTTCAGCATGACAATGATCCCAAACACACCGCCCGGGCAACGAAGGAGTGGCTTCGTAATAAGCATTTCAAGGTCCTGGAGTGGCCTAGCCAGTCTCCACATCTCAACCCCATAGAAAATCTTTGGAGGGAGTTGAAAGTCTGTGTTGCCCAGCGACAGCCCCAAAACATCACTGCTCTAGAGGAGATCTGCATGGAGGAATGGGCCAAAATACCAGCAACAGTGTGTGAAAACCTTGTGAACGCTTACAGAAAACGTTTGACCTGTGTCATTGCCAACAAAGGGTATATAACAAAGTATTGAGAAACTTTTGTTATTGACCAAATACTTTTTTTTCCACCATCATTTGCAAATAAATTCATTAAAAATCCTACAATGTGATTTTCTGGATATTTTTTTCTCATTTTGTCTGTCATAGTTGACGTGTACCTATGATGAAAATTACAGGCCTCTCTCATCTTTTTAAGTGGGAGAACTTGCACAATTGGTGGCTGACTAAATACTTTTTTTCCCCACTGTATTTACCTAAGGTGTATGTAAACCCGGTTGGAGTCATTAAAACTCGTATTTCAACCACTCCACACATTT